ATGTGGGGATGGACCAAGTCTGGATGGAAGCAGAACTCAGGTTCTTGAGTGCTGAGTGGTCTGACTTGGGTCACAGAAACAGAAGGCCCTTCCAGGTGTCTTCACGTGAAGACGGTTCATTCAGGGTGTAAGGTCGTGAGACCTTTGCATGTGCCGCTGGGCTTCCTGCAGCGCSGGAGGGTGCTGGGAGAATCCCAGCCTGAGCTGATGCCCACCTCATCGCCACCAGAAACGACGTCCACATTTTTTCTCGTGCCTTGCAAACTTCCCACAGCCCACCTCCGCCAAGAACCAGTGGGCCTTTGTGCCAGTCTGAGAAATGTGGTTTCCGGCTTTCAGCCCTGTGGGTACCCGGAGGACTGAGGGCGCACAGGCAGGACCAGACGCACAGGTGGGAGACCCTCGCCGTTCCCTTGGTCCCCCCTCGTTGTACACGGAGGTTATTTCCGGGCCTGTGGCACAGCTTTCATGGGCTCATGTCCCCATCTGCAGACATCTAWCCAGACGCCCCATCTCAGTCGTCCCTGCGGTCGGGTTCGCGGCCCCTGACGAGGCTCGCGGTCTGCACAGCCACGTGGGGGCAGCAGCTCCCACCACCTCCGCGCCGACGCCCACCCCGGCCGTGGCTGCCTCCCGTCCTCTCCAGGCCCCAGACCCGGGGCCAATCCCGTCTCCATCCCTCCGTGTTAGGCCCAGCCAAGATCTCCCCGAGGAGCAGCCCCACTGAGCCTTGCTTCCCGCCGGTCACTGCAGCGGCCCCTGCGGCCCCCGCGGGTGACCCGCCCTCCCTGCCGACAGACAGACTGACCTATAGGTCTGGGCGCCAGGCGGTCCCCTGGCCTACCGCCCCTGATCTCTGTCCCTGGTGCCCGCCGACTCAGGAGTGCCTCCTAGTGACAGCCAACTCCTGCGACAGGGTTCCAGCTACCTGCCAATCAGATGCCCGGCCCTTCAGGTCCAGAGGCCTCCTGCCGCCCAGTGCTACAGCGAACATTTTGGACACCGCTCTGCCCACATTCTGTCCTTAGAGTACTTCTCTAAAAGGGAAATTGGTCTACAATAGGAAATAGAGTTTTAAGATTGTGATACATATTGGCAAATTGTTTCTATGCTCCATCGAGGGGTCTGTACTTACCCTGCCTCAGTGCCTTCTCCACTGCATGGGATTTCAGAACAGTGTGTGTGTGTGTGTGTGTGTGTGTGTGTGTGTGAGAGAGAGAGAGAGAGAGAGAGAGAGAGAGAGAGAGAGAGAGAGAGAGAGAGACCTAGTTCTATATAATGTGTGTGATGCATGTATTACATATGTTGAGTGTGTCTCTTCCCAGGGGGCCTGCCTTTGTGCCATGTTCATGTCCCTATCCTCTTTCTTATATGAGCTGAGACTCCAAACCTTCCCCAAAATGTGAGGAAGGCAACACCTCCAACATTTAGTCAGCCGTCATTGTGATAATTGCAACTGTTGATTGAAGGCAAGTTATTCTTCCAGAGACTGAAGGGTAGATTTAACAATGAATGACCCAAAATTCACATTGGTAGTGGCTTCAACTGATAGATCTTACCCCCTGCCCACTCCCCCACCCCGGCCTTCTAGCAACAAATCAGGAATTAATCCAGCAGAGGCCAGTATGAGATCCATGGAGCCCTGGATCTGTTCCTATTCCATTCACTGTCCAGCTAACAAAAAAGAGGGAAGAAAGGGTGCATATCTTTCTACTAAAGACGCTTTCGGGAAGTTGCACTTGTAACCACATTGAAGGGAGCCGTACAGTAGGGGGCTGTATTGGTAAGCTGAGCTGAGAGGAGAGGTGGGAACACAGTCTGTGTTTCTGGTGGCCATTTTCAGCTGAAGATAAAGGTCTTGTGGGAAGAACAGGTAGAAAGGGAGTGGGGGGGTCTGTCCCCCAGATGGGCAGTGCAGCTGTTGTCTGATCTGGAGCTTCCAACAGCTTTAGTTCTGGGAATGCCTGTGTCCCCTCTTTAAATACTAAACCCAGTGTTGTGGATAATAGCCTATTTTTCTCTTTCTTTTAATTATAGTCCTGTTTCCATTCGACGTGGATTATAGTTTCCAGACACTTCAAATTCATCTTGGACTTCACAGGGCTATAACTCCTCATGTTTTGATTATTTCCCCCCAGCCCGCCTCTCTGTCTGGCCATTAGTTGATCTGAGAATAAACAACTAGATGCAGCTGGTGAGCTGGGAGGCTGGAAGTCTGCTTCATTTTCTTTCCTTGACAAAAGAAAAATGAAAATGTACTAAAACCCCAGGAAGCGAAGAAACAAACCAAAAGAGAGGAAGGAAAGAAAATAGGTCTTCAGAATAAGCCTCTCAGTTACAATGAGCATCACCTCCATCATCTAAATAACAAACCGAATTTGCACAGTCCAGGGAGCGCTGAAGAGGTTTGATGAGGGGCCAAAGGCAGTGGACAGAGCAGGATTTCATCCTGGTGGGTGTATGCTGGCCACCAGCAAAAAACTAGGATAATGTAGTTGCATGGATTTCAAGTAAAGACTGCAATGTGAGCTTTATAGATGAGCAACTTGAGCAAAGAACAGGGAGGTATTAGAGCCAGGAGCCTGGAGTCCCTGCTCACCACGTGGGCATTGGTTGCAACTAAGGTGCTTATTTAATTTCATATTCATTTTTATTTTCAGYTTTGCCATTCCTCACCTGAGCCCCTGGACATGCAGTGTGTCTCACTCAGGAAACATTTCCAAATGAAGCAATTTGCATATGGTTGACACTAAATTCACATATTCATTGATTGATGATTACAGTGTGTCTTTAAAACGTCTGTGTCCCCCTCCACGTCTTCTAGGAGGCTCTCGAGAACAAAACCCAGAGACCCGCACCCTTGTCCATTGCTGGTGGGGATGTAGAGTGGCAGCCCTGTGGAGAACAGTATGACTGCTCTTCAAAGAGCCAAATATAGAATTATTATGCACCCGGCTACTCCACTCTGGAAAAGAATCGAAAACAAGATTCAAGCAGATGCTTGCCGGCCGATGTTTTTTTGCAGCGTTATTCACGGTKCGGGGAGGTGGGAATCACCCAAGTGTCCAGCAGCAGAAATACAGACGGACATTGACAACATCATGCCCGGGTCCACAAGCCAGGCACAGGGGACAGGTGTCACACGGCCCCATGTACATGGGATACCTGGAATAAGCAAATTTCTAGAAACAGAAAGATTAGATGTTACCTGGAGCTGAAGACAGGGATTAGGGAATTGTTATTACTTCATGGATCAAGTTTCTGTTTGGGGGGGTGCAAAAGTTGTGGAAAAAGATAGTGGCGATGGGTGCAAAATGTTTTGAATATAGTTGATTCCACTGAGTTAGATAAAATGGCTAAAATTACAAATTTTATTGTATGTATTTTTCCAAAAGGAAAAAAAAAAAACATTTCCTTTGATTTTCACATTTAGCTGGTATTACATTTTATACTTTACAAAGGTCTGCCATAATATCTCATTTAGTCCCAGAGCCCCACAGAGCAGGCGGAATATTTACTATTCCTYGTATCCACCCCACCCCACCGGTCCCATCTGATTCCATGATGATGAATCGGTGGGAACCTCATAAATTACAGAGGCAGTGTTTGCACCCAAGTCCTTAGACTCCTGGCTCAGGACTGCTGATCCTTTCAGGGATTCAAGSCTGGAAACTCTTCCAAGGCAGTTGGTCTTCAGGGCCTTCGCCTGGTGGTTGCTGTGGTCTTTTGCCTCTGAGTCTGAGTGACCTCCACCCTCCTTTCCTCTGGGCATCTGAACATCTGGCTGAAGTTCCTTGAGGGTGTGTGAATTCCATAAAAATAGGCCGGGAAAGAGGTTTAACTTCAGAGTTTGAGGTGCTCTGCTCAAGAGGACGGAGATCACAAGAAGAAGATGCACAGAAAATCAAGCGTTTATCTAGAGCGGGTCCAGCGGCTCCCAGCACTGGGGCAGATGGTGAGTTCACCCCAGAAGCCAGCACCCAGACCCCTGGGGACCATCGGTCGGGCCTGAGTCAGGAAGAGCTGCTGGAAGCCAGGTCTGCCTCGCTGACCCTCACAGTGAGGGGGGAGGAGAGCAGTAGGAACCCTTTTCCACACTTCATGCTTGAGAGAAGGTCAAGTGCTGGACCAAGGTCGTACAGTCAGAGGGGACGGAAATGAAAACAGAGTCAGGTGTCGACGGCCAGGACAGGGCTCTTTCCATTCTGTTGCAGCTGGTGGCTTCCAAAGAGCTTTGCRTGCCCAGAAAATGCCATGCAGAAGAGGCTGCTGCTCTCCTGTTTCAGGCTGGGGTGGGGACAGCCAGGGTYGGGGGAGGGGCTGCCACCCTGGCTGGGGAGTTCTCTTTATGGCCTTGCCACTCCAACTGGCACCAACAGCTCACTGCTGGAGATTAAATGTCCTGGACACGATTGCCCACTGCATCTCTTGACACCTGCTCCGGAACCCTGCCCTGCTTGTGCCCCCTCCTGTTCTGTTAGTCCGGTTCTGAGTGTTCACGGGGAGCTGTCTCCTTCACTGCCACTCCTCACGGAGCAAGCCCTGTCTTGTGTACTTTGGGGGGAAAATTATTTTCAATTAAGAGTTCAAGTCTCAAAACCAAACCAACAGACAAACCAACCCCCCTGCTGTACCCTTCCTCTCTTCCTAGCCTTGCCTTGGTGACCAGTTAGTCCTGTCTGCCGGGACAGTCCCACGTCYTCCCTTTCTCCAGGGAAGCCTGTGGTTGAGGATACCCCCTGTTTGCCTAGGCTGCCCTTCCTGAACCCCTACGCTTCTAATCTTATGTCTGGATCTAGGTTTTCAAAGTTGATCCTGCCGGGGAGGCACCTGATAACGTCAGATAKCGAGCCCTTGGGATAGGGCTAGGCAAGAGGAGGTGGGCTCTGTGCCCTCCCAGCAGGGGCTTGTGCTGCTGCCTGGGYGATGAATCAGACCTTCCGTGGCGTGGCCTCCGTCCACACAGATGGAGGAGTGGCCTGAGCTGGATGGCCCTTGGCTCTGTGGACAGGGGGATCTCCGTAAAAGTGAAGGGCAGAGTGTAGGGCCTGGCTTCCCTCTGAGACCAAGAGGCTCCCGGAGGGGTGACCTGGCTGTGGCTGGGTGACGGTGAGAGGGGATGTTGGTGCCACTCATCCTCTCAGCAGGAAGTTGGAACTAGCCCCTGGCCCCAGGGGGAATTCTCATGTCCTGAGGTAGAATATGCCAAGGGGWCAGCCCCCTTCAAGGTCAGTCAGTCTGCCAGGTCATGGAGGAGCTCGGTGCAAACCAGCTTGCCTTGCGTTTCTCTTGGCGACACGGCTGATGACTTTGGCYGCCTTTACCTGGCCGTGGCGCAGGTAGCTGAGGGCCGTGGGAGCCCAGAGGCCAGAGACTTACTCGGATGCCTCTGTTCTGGTTCCCTGTTTCTGTGGGAAGAAGAGTTCCCTGGCCTTTCTGTCCTGTCCAGGGCATTTGCTGTGCTGGCACTGTGGCTGGCTGACTATTGACAGCTCAGAGGGGAGGACAACCCAGCAGCRTGACCGTTGCCCTGTCTCTGGGGCTTGCAGTGACGGAGATGAATCCTCTGCCTGTGTGCGGGGCTTATGTAAGCTGCAGCCYGCAGTGCAGAGCAGAGCTGGAGAGGCGCCCAGCTCACGGCACTGCGCCTGGGCTGCTGCTGGGCTGCAGGCAGGGCGGGCCAGGGAGCCGGGCGGGCCAGGGCAGGGAGGCAGGAGGTGTCCAGCTGGGGCGGCTGAAGCCCTGTTCCCCAGTGCTGGGGGTGGGATGGGGATGGGGGGAAGCTGCCTTCCTGGGGCTTATTCCTGACCAGGGGGGGGGGAGTTGCTGAGGAGACGCCAGGAGGAACCACCCAGAGGCCCTGGGGTTGGAAAGGGGAGGAATTGCAGTGACAGGGCCCCCCCCCCCAACTCAGCTGGACACCTTCTCTTCTCTTTTCTGTTTGCTCGACCCACTGATTTAATCCYCCACATTTTTTTTTCCTCATAATATTAGCCAGACTCCTCCCCATCTTGGGCTCCCTCAGCTGTGGCCTGCAGCTGCTTCCCCAGCACCTCGTCAACAACAGCTCTCCTGGTGGCGGACCCCTGCTGGAGCCCTCCTGTTGGGAACCCTTGGGTCTCAGCGGGGCGGGCACCTCTGTGTGGCACCAACCTGCTCACCAGGTGGGCAGTGCCATCTCGTCATAGTTCTTCAAGTTTCTTCTGCGTGAGGAATTGGGCAGGTTGCTGCCCTCTGGGGCTTATAGGATAGTGGTAAGAAACAAGACAAGGCCCAGGTGAGAAAGCATGGACACTCAAGGGATCAAAGCCTGTGTGCCTTTGTTTCCGTGGGTCCCAGTGCCTGTGGCCTCCTTTCCTGGCTTTGGAGGGCCCAGGTGTGGACAGTCTGGTCACTGCACTTCTGACGGGGTTTTGAGAGGGCAAAGGCTACAGGTGCATCTCGACTTCCCACTCCACCACAGCAGCCCACCTTGGCATCTGGGAGGGAGGGCTCGTCTCCAGGGTGGACGGGCCTGGCTGCGGGCGGGCTCGGTGACATGGGGCAAGTCACTTCCCAAGCCATCAGTTTTCTCATCTACAAAATGATTTTTTTTCTTCTTTGTCACTTGGATTTTAAGAAAAATTTGGAAACCAAAATTGTTATAAAGTGAACGATTATTCACATAATACCTGTCAATATTAAGTCACAAATTAATGCTAAAGTACAATTTTCCACAAGGTAAAATCMTGACTCACATACAAATATAATATGAATAAATGTCAAAAATTTTACTTAACCTATTAATTAATTAGGAAATGACTAAGATGCTAAATTGAGTTCAAAGGAGAATTTTGAAGAAYACACACACGTACAGTGCCTTATAGTGCAGAAATACAATGTTTAGAGTTAATTTTTTAAAACTGGATGGAAATCAATTAGATCTTTATCAGACAAAATTCATTGGCATTTCCATAGAAAAGAATCATTTGCTTTACTATCAGTTTTCTAAAACTTAWCTTCTATTCCTTCAGAGTTGTGAAACCAACAGGTGAATAATAAAAGGTACACACCCGATGGAATCAGATGATCCCAGGAGCTAACCAATGCCCACCCCCACTGAAAGGCCCCACTAGAATCCCTGTTATTAAAGATAAGTCAGTAAACAAGACACCTTTGGAGTTAGAGGTGGGGGAGATCATGGAAAGTCAGTTGGTTGCATAAATTGAGGTGAATTTGCCTTTGTGATGTTACCTTATTGAACATTTTGAATTCCTGGGATCTAGACCACATCCTCAACATGCAGGACATTTGTAGAGGTCACAGAAGTAGTTGGTACGGGAAACTGCATTTGGCTGCTTAGAGAGAGTCATGGCCTGTTGACTGCTAGGCCAGAGGCATTATAGTCCTGAGAGAGAACCAGGCCACAGGCCTCCAGGGCACGGTGGGAACCACRGGGAGTGGAGATCTAGACCCAAGTAGGCTGATGGGGAGGGCGGCTCTCTCCGCCTACTTCTTCCTGGCTCCATCTCTGAGCAGGTTCTTGTTAACATGTTCAGGCTCCGTCATGAAGTAGTAGGAAACGGCTGCGATCCCACTACGATGGAGATGACAACTACTAGATGCTGAGAATTAGCTCGGCTGAGTCTCCTTGGCTGAAACTCCATGCTGTGTTTCTCAAAGAATGGCCTGGGAGCCCTTCAGCTCCCAAACTGATGGGGGTGGGGACTTTTCCTTCTTTCCCTGTTTTTGGAGGTGAGGCCAACCAGTGTCGGAGGCGGAAGGAAGGCGAGGGAGGAAGGGCAGAYGCGCCCCTATGATGGGGTGGTGGCAGTGCTCCTTGTAGTCCTCCTGAGTTTGGGAGAACCAGGGACAAGCCAGGGAAAGCCCATCCAGGGCCAGGATCCCTGGACCAGGGAGAGTGCCCTTCYTTCTTGGGCTGCATAATTAAGTCTAATTAATGGGAAGCAAGGGCTGGGGAGAGCAGAGCCTATTTTCAGTTATCATTATCCAAAGACAGCAATCAAAATGCAGATGAGCTGTCTCGCCTTACCCCAGGAGAGGAACAGGGCTTCTGGCTCATGACGGGGATTTAAATGGCCAACGGATGCTCCTGTGGCTTCTCGGTCCACYGTGGCAGCCTGGGGTGGGGGTGGGGAGCTGTGTGATTTGGGAGGATGCCACCTCATATTGACAGTTTGCTCTCTGCCAGGAGAAGCTAAGTGCTGCTCTAAGTCTGCCTTCACACACTGCCGGGAGAGCGGCCCAGGAGTCTCTCCCCAGCCTGGACAAAGGTGAGCAGCTAAGTGACTTTCCCCCAGGACACCCGGCAGAGGGTGTCCAAGCTGGAAAGGGCGCTTGGGGCATACAGTTTGGCAGCATCAGAGATCCACTCTCCTCTGACCTTCCATCTCAATAATTAGAGCCTCTYGTCTAACTAGACAAAGGATCTGGGGCAGCAGGGGACAGAATTAGAAGTAACCACCAGGAGGTCTGCTCTCAGCCCAGAGGAGGACAGCACCGGCTGTAACCCAGATGAACAGGGACCCGGCACCTCCCTGAGCACTGTGGATGCTTTTCTTTTTAAACAGAAAAATGACTCTACCCAAACCATCTCACAAACGATCAACCTGGGGTGGAACTGCCAGTGCCCCCTTCCCTGGCAGCAGCAGTGGATTGACCCCGGGATGCCACAGCTGCGGGCATCACTCAGCTCTTTCCAGCCTGTCCCCGAGAGTCCCTCAGCCCCTCCCTCTCTGCCATGCCAGCACTGCTAAATTTAGCCCTTCTGGTGTGTGCAGAGACTATATTTAGTGGCTAAAAGTCAGATTCAGCATACAATCCATCAAGCCACCTGTCATCCCTCCGGCCGGCGACACTGAAAAATCCTTCCGAGAGACTTGCTCGCTGTCCGCCACGGGTGGAAGCCATTCTAAGAACCAGGAATTTGCTGGGCCAGAGGGGGTTTCTCCTCACCCTGGTGTGTGAGCAGTGCCAGGCCCTGAGCTGGCAGCCAGGGTGGAGTGTGGTTCCAGAGGCCAGAGGGAGGAGGGGTGGGCGGCAGGAGGCTCAGGGCTGGACTGCAGGCCGACTGCACCCATCTGTCCTGGGTGAAGGCACAAGCAACTGGGTGTGGCTCCCAGGGCTCCTACCTGGATGTCGGGTCTGGATGGGGCTTGCCTTGAGACCCCTCCAACACACCAGGAGCCCTCCAGTGCGCCAGGGTTTCCCCAGACGCTCTTTACAGCAGCCCCCTCTCTAACTGCAAGGTGCAGTGGAATGTGGTCAGAACCCGGTTCCTGTCTAGAAGGTCTGGGATAGGCTGCTGCCGAGGCCTGCCGTGGAGTGACAGGGWCTCCACTGTGATGGCCTGTACGCAAGCACACTGTTGCCGTCTCCTGCCACAAGCTGCAGGACCCGACATGCCACCTTAGTGCTCAACAAGTAATTTTATTGATTTATGTAGGTTCCAGGGATTGAACCCACAGGCACTCAGCCATTGAGTTGCATCTCCAGCCCTTTTTATTTTTTATTTTAAGACAAGCTCTTGCTAAGATGCTCAGGGCCTTGCTAAATTGCTGAGGCTGGCCTTGAACTTGGGGTTCTCTGCCTCAGCCTCCCAAGTGGCTGAGGTTACAGGCGTGTGCCATGGCACCCAGCTCAACGAATAATTTCAATGTAGGAGCAAAGTGATCTGACCCTCGGAAGGCCTTCCAGACTCCTTTCCTATTTTGACTTCTCATCAGCAATTAAAATGCTCAAGACTTATCCAGTACTGGGAATTTGTTTAATTCTTGCCAATCACCTCATGAAGCATTCATCATTTTAAAATAGTTTTTAATGGGGGGACCCAGAATGAACTTCCATGGTTTACCCAAATCACATAGTTCTAAAGGACTGAGTCAAGACTCAGATTTAATCTTCTGACTTAAAAGGCCCCCAAAGGGAGCCCCATGGTGCTGTGGCCTCTCTCCGGAAGGGCTGTGCGCTTCCTTGTAGGATCAAGTTTCAGGAAAGCCTGCACAGGCTGTTTAGCAAGAGCCCTGCCCTGGATAGCTGATCCTCCTCAGCACCTGACCAGGTTCCTCATCTTCCACCAGCCCCAGGTGGCTTCTGACCACTTGGCCTGACTTCAGCCTGGATCCTGTAGGTCTAGGTCGGTGTCACCAGAGGGCCCCTCTCCCTGCCCTGTCCTCTTAGTAATTTTCCATCCTCTAACCCCTGCCCTGACTCCTGGGTATAATGCCTGCTGCCCATTCAGGGTTCAAGTCGGGCCCCGTCTCTCTCTCCAGCTGCAAGACCCCATTGGGCCGGTCCTGGCCCTATCTCCGTGGTCCTGAGCAAAGCCTGCCTTACCGTGCTTCCACAAGTATCCTAGAACAACTTTCTTCAACAGTTGTGGGATGGTGCTAAACAATTGGTAGTTTGAAATTGGATGATGGAAGTATGCATATCCTGGGAACTGGCAAGCAGTGTGAATCAGGGTTTCTCCTCTGTCCACACACCCGGGCAGCTGGTGGTAACGCACTGTCAGCGGGCCACTGCCCAGAAAGCGGAKGAGGCAGGATTCGAAATGGATGTTGCAATCTGGGAAACAAAGTATCTTGTATTTCTCCTCCACAAGTTGGTGCCAAAAAATACAAGGTTAAAGCTTTTGGTACTAAGCTCCAAAACTAAGTTTTCTGGGTTAAAATGATAGTAAATGAAAAATTGCTGTAAGTAGGAAAATATGGTCTGAGCAAGAATTTTTATCTTCAATTGGAAATGGGACAGAAGAACTGCCCCAGAAAATTTGTGACCATTGTATCGTCTATGGAATTCTGTTCATCATGTATTGTTGAGCATCTACAATCTGGTAATTGTATTGTGAGATTTCTAGTAACTGAATTGTCATGGAAAGATTGCTTTTATGTTTCTTATTGTATGATTTTTTCAGCATTATGATTATTTTAAAAAGTTTGCGTCATCATATCTACTTCATAAAAAATTTTGATTAACTCATATGCTGCATTATCCAAACACCCAACAACCTGGCATAGTGTGGACATGGAGAAAAATACATGCTATATCATATCTCAGTAGGACACTTAATGCTTTTCGTGCATTTCCCCTTGAAGGTGCAATATGACCCACCTTCTGGCCTTATCATCCTGTTACCCTGATTGTTCGGATCATAGTTCTTTCTTCTAAGGAGCAATTTTTAAATATGAAGTGTCGAATCAAGGTGATCAAAGAGAAGACTAGCGTTATATTAAGGCAAATCATTTTTGCTACTGACACAGAAACAGGCCCCAAACCCCAAAGTGTTTATCAAATTCAGCATTCTGCTTTGATGGACAAGTAGGAGTCAGACTAGGGAGGAGGAAGGAATTCCAGTCAAGGAAGAGCAAGTGGTCTTGCCGTTGCCCTTGAAGCCCGGTTGTGCCAACTGAAGCAGGAATACGTTTGCGGTAGGACGGGGGATGGATCAGTTGGGCGTCGTCACACCCTCAGCGCCTGGTGGGCTTGTCTGGGTTGGAAGTTTGGGCTTTACCTTGAAAGCTCCAGGGACCTCTCAGAGTACGAGAATTGGAACCGAGACGCAGCCTAGTTCCAGGCTGGGAGAGAGTTCCTGGAACCTGCGGCATGGGGAGGACAGGCCGTGATCCCGCGTCCAGGAGTGGAGGCCCCGAGCTGAGGCTGGCAGGAGCCAGGGTTTCCACTCAGGAAATACTAAGAAGGAAGAATCTGCAGGTCCTGGTAATGTGACTGGTTGACTAAATGTCCAGGGTTGAGAGAGAAAAAAGAAGGAAAAGATTGGAAAATTTTGGTGTCTGAAGACTGAATGGACAGTACGTTTGCCAGGACGGGAGGTAGAGAGATTCTGACCAGATGCGTTCAGCACCTGTCTGGTAAAGAGCATCTCAGGGCCAACCAGCAAGTGGCTTATGATCTCCCGTTATCTGCTTGTGACATGTCAACAGCAGCCTGGCTTAAGCCGCCTGTCTTCTTGATGGCTAATAGTGAATGTGCACTAGTTATGGGCATAGGCCCAATGACACACAACCAAGAACACACACGTAATGTATACACACATGTAATGTATACAGTGAGGGAGTCTCTGCAGAAGCCGGCCTCGTTCAGCTGAGTGGCGTGCTGACCCAGTCACTCCCATGCTCCAGTCCACTGTCATATGATCTCTTTCAGCATCGCCTGAGCATTCTTAAGCTCMTATTTCACAACAAAAAAATGTTAAGTGATTATTTTATTGAAAGATTTTTCAAAATAGCCATGCAAGCAAGTAGCCCTMTTGTTTAATAAAATAAACCTGATGGAACTCATTTTTGAATCCTTGGGGTTTTGCAAGTCACCATTTTGAAAGTGTTGRTATTTCTCCTTGGGACCTGCTACCAAATCGGAACACATGCCTCACAGCCCTAATATTGAAAATTATTTCTTTAACAAAAGGAGATCCATACAGAACTGAGTTGTTTTAATGTAACAGAATTTGTTTGCTAAGAATTTGAAATTGATTTTAAAATGGATTGGCTTGCTCAGTGAGTATGATCGATATCAGTGAGGATTTTAGGTAGATCTCTTCTTGCCCTCTGCCATGAGCCCTCCTGCCCCCCACAAGCTGATCTGCAYGAGTGCCAGTCCTTTCTCCATTCTGCCCACTAGAATGCGTGCCCTGCCTCCTCTCAAAGCCTGTGAATGGAACATGGGAATTCTCACCCCTTCTGCTTCCTCTGGGCCACAYGGTCTCTCCCCACTGCATCTCCAGCCTCTCCTAGTCAGTAACTACCCTTGGCATGAAGGATGCCCACATCTGTTCCACCTGTCAGGCCTSAGGTACCTCCATCGGCTCTTCTGTTCACAGCCCATTTCCTGGAACAGGAGTTTGTCCTCTCGGTGTACACCTTGTCACCTCTGATTGGTTCTTCTGCCTGTAAGCTTCTTACCTTGAAATCATTCTTACTATAGTTATCTCTATGTCACCACATTCAGAGGCACTTGATCCGCAGCAAAGAGCTTGGGTTTTCCCTGGAGCTGGGAAGCTGCTGGAGGGTTTTGGACAGCTGAGGGSCAGGATGTAGCTTCTTTTTTTCCAGGTTTGCAAGCAGTGAGACCAACTAGAAAGCTGGGAAACAGTGCTGTGATGTCACTGTGGCTGGGTCTAGGACAGCAGGACCAGGTGGTGAGAAGGGGTCAGCTCTGGTGGTGATTTGRAGGTAGGGCTGGTGGGACTTGCAGGCAGAGCCCGAGTGTGAGAGGAAAGGAGTCAAGGGTGACACCGAGCTTTTGAAGGCACAAATGGGAGGAAACCAAATGGATGCTCTTCTTTCATGTTGGGCCACCATACAGGAAAAAAAGACTAAGMGCATCTGGATGACCCTCGTCCTGTGTCATGGTAGTGGTCAACCTTTAAGTAGGAACCAACCAGGAATGAGGAAGAGCAGTCAACGAAGTAGGCAGAGGACCAAGAAAGAGAGGTCCCTGCAGGAATGACACCACCATCCTTTGGGTCAGAGGCTACGACTGGATCAGGTGAGATAAAGTGTGAGAATTCCTGCCTCAGCTTGATGATGCCTGTGAGCAGGGATGTCAAGGAGGGAGGACACSTGAGACCTCGACAGCAGCAGTCTTTCAGGTGTGCCAGAGGAATGGTCTGGTTCAAGAGCAGGGGGAAGATGGAAGAGGGGGTGCCAGTCAGGACAGCTTCTGAGGTTGTGGGGGCAGAGGCTGGAGGTGGGAATGAGGTTGAGAGGTGGGATTTTAAGTGTGACGACTGGTCTGTTTGTGTGCAGGGAGGGAAATTCATGATGTAGGAAAGGGATGAGACGTGGGGTGGAACAAGGTCCTTGAGAAGGTGCGGGGGGCTAGAACCCGGAGCAAGCAGGCCCACCTCGCCAGCAGCACGGAGAGCTCAGGTGTTGTAGCTGGAGCTAAGACCACTTGCACAGGCAGAGCTRTGGGTAGGTGGGCAGACAGGAGCATGTAGAAGGGCCTGGTCKAGTTGTTTCCAACCTCCAGGAGAAACATGCGGAAGCCTCACCAGCTGATGGTGTTATGGGGATCCAGGTGGGAAGCGGAGGTGCGGAATTCTTGCCAAGGACAGTGGGAGACTGAACGACCCAGGGGTCCGTAATCACATGGGAGGGCACCACAGGGATCAGGCAGCTTAGTGGCTGGACCCTGAGAGTGACGCTGTCGCCTGGCTGTGTTTCTCAGCTGGGCTGGAGGCCGTGTCCGGCAGGGTGCTCTGTCCTCCCCTTCTGGCAGCACAGAGTCCGGGGCTGGGCTCAGCCTGGGGTCAATCCCGGATGGAAACTGGGGTTGAAGACAGCRCTGCCTTCGGAACGGCTGCTCTTCCTGCCGTCTACACTCATCCGGCAGGCCGACCTTTGATGGCACTGGTATTTTAGGCATCCAAATGTGTCCTAAGACAGCTGGCAGCCGTTCTGTGCCCTTTATGCAAGAGGGGACTTGGGGACCCTCCAGAACCTCAGTCAGCAGAGCCTGGT